AAATTTTTTTTCAAAATTTTGTTGAATTTGACCCGGCCGGGTTATGAGAACCAATTAATTAAGTTTGTATGGCCTAAGTGCAAAAATTTAGAAAAATTTGGAAAATTTTATTTCCAAAATTTTACATAAGAGCTAAGTTATATAATTTCACATATTATTATACATTTGTTTTGACATATTTTATTCAAAATTTTATTTATCAACTACAGTATATCTTTTATAGACCTCAGTTTGACAAGTTCGACATGAAAAAAATGTATCTTAAACACAAAGAACAGACACCTAATAAAAAAATTATTTAAATATCTAGGCTCCGGACCCAAACGGTTCCCGTTTTCTAGTAATATTGTCTAATACATCGAATTTACCATTTTTCAATCAAATAGAAATTGTTACCGCTACTGTCTTTTAATAGATTTATCAAAATCAGATATGCTTTTCTGGTTGCGAGACATAAATTATACAAATTTGAATTCAGAAAAATATATAAATGGATATCCTGTTTCAATTACACCATGTCTCTGTCATCATTGAGATCTTTGTTTGTTATCATCTTTACGAACTGTTGTGAAGTTTCCGACACTTCAACCGATGGACTAGGAAATATTGACAAACGCTTGCGAGGATTTAATGGAGTTAAATTGATTGCATTTGTATTGGCGAAATCCAGGTCATCATTTTTAACTTTTCCTTCATCACCAAGACCTTCTATTGATTCTATTATTTTAACACGTTTAGGTTTTCCCGAAATATTTAAGGACGGGCTAGAGTATATCCTTGAACGTCGACGAGATATTGACGTTCTCAATGGCGATTGCGTAGGTGTTGACGTTCTCAATGGCGATTGCGTAGGTGTTGACATTCTCAATGGCGATTGCGTAGGTGTAATAAATTCTAATGGCATTGTGGGCGTTGCATCTGAATTGTCCTTATCAGCTTCTTTTAATATTGATACCTTTACGCGTCTAGCTTTCCCAGGTACGTTTCCCACTGGACTTTGAAATATTTTAGAACGCCTGCGACTAGTTAGCAGTTCAGGCAAAGGTGACTTTGTTGGCGTCAATTGTTCTTCTAACGGAATATGGTCATCGGTTCGAACGTCAGCTAATGTCTTGCTTGACGGCAATACGCGTTGTGCTTTTCCAAAAGAGTGTATGGTTGAAAATGAAATAGGTGTTTCTTCCTTGCCCGTGAAAGAAGTTCTGCGTGGTAACAATTTTTGATTTTTGGGAGTATATTGGATTTTTTTAGCACTATCTAAAAACACCACATTGTGTTTTGGAATTGTGGGAGGTACTTCTGCCGAAGGCATTATCTCTTTCACATGTGATTGAGATTTCTCTGAATTCCGAACAGGAGTTTGATATATATTTTTTCTTTCAGGAGGTTTTGGTATTTGCACTTTAGAGTTATTATTGTCAACCTTACTAGTCGGGCCAGGTTTTGAAACCTCTTTCGATTTTGATCTGGTGATTATTGTAGTTGGCCTTGCATTCCTATATATTAGAATTAAACATTTCATATAATTTTAAATAATCTGTATATTTGATACCTATAAGCGATTATTATAGAAAAGCTTGTTTACTTTTTTTTTTGTTTTTCCAATTCTTTTTTCTTTTTAAACTCTTCCAATAAACGACGTCTCTCAGCCTGTTCTTGTTCATAAGTCATTTTTGCCACAGGACGTTTATCAATTTCTTGCTCGCCATTAGTCGACGACTTTTGTAATGACAAGTTTGGTGGCGGTTGTTGTTGCTGTTTAGGAAACTTTTTTGGAATTTGAACAGGACGCTTTGGTAATTGTTCTTTTGGTTGTGGTGTCGGTGTAACAGAGTTATTATGAATATACTCATAAATCTTTTTCTTATTTTCTTTATCCATACTTAATGAAAACGGTATAGTTTCGGGACTCTATAAAATCACCAGTTAATAAAAGATGAAAATTTCATTTTACAGTATATTTTTATATCATATACAAAAATTGGTCTGGACATCTGGACATGTAAACAATGATTTTACTTACGCGTAAAATCACGTACAGTACCAAAAAAAATCAAAACATTAATGTGATTGGTTGGTCGAAAATTTTATATAACTGATAAAAAAAAATTGGAATTAGGGTTTGTTTTTAGAACCCTATCAAGAACAATACGACAGGGACCGGTAAAAATTCAGCATAGCAAGCTCGTTTTAATTGGCTACATTTATTTATACAGTCATATGGGCGGATTTGACTCCATTCAAAATGTCACATACATTTGATTTTGTCACATATGATGATCAAAATATGCCAATTAACCAATCAAATCAATCACAGTGATGTATATGTAATAATGTTGATCAAAACGTGATCGTTAACCAATCAAATCAATAATGATTAATAATATAGCAATCAATAACAATATTAGAATATACCAGTATATGAATAAATAATTTATTATTAACAAAAAGCTTTATTTTTTTTTTTATTTTTTTTTTTTTTATTAATATAATGTCATAGTAGAAACTTTGTTACAATAAACCTATATTAATCTAAAGATTAA